GGGTCGGATATTTAGTTTAGTAGTAGTAGGAGAGTAGTTAGTAGTAGATAAGAACTACTTCTTCTTTCTTTTACGGTTAGTAGTCTTGTTGGTTAGTATATATATATATATATATATATATATATAGTGACAGAGAGAGAGTACAAAATGCCTATAAGTGAAAATGAATAGTGATTTCGCCTACCTTCATTACTGTCCAAAGTTTATCACATAGTTGCAATTGTCTGATAGTGTTTTATTTTTCATTTTTTTTTTTTACAAATCAGAATGACTTGAAATTTGAAGCTTGTGTTCATAAAAAATAGACGAATCTACGAAAAATATGAAAACAATGTTTTACATAAAAATATTGATCAAAATACCCTCGAAACATTTCATGGGTATTTAGGTCAATTTATTTTTCATAAATTATTTTTTTATATTTTAATTAGTTGCACCTCACTGAGATGTACACACTCTCCAAATTTTAGGTCATTCTGATCTGTAGAAAACAATTGAAAAATAAAATACTACTAGACAATAGTGACCATGCGATAAACTTTGGACGGTGATGAAGGTAGGCGAAATCATTATTTATTTTCGCCTATAAGCCTTGAGAAGATATATATATATATATATATATAGATAGATAGTTTGCATACAGATGCATCTGTAAGTGTAGAGATAAGGTGCATCGTCAAATTTTATTATGGTATATAATTTTGATGTAAAATGTTCTTAAGAGTATCTCAAAATCTATTTTTATATCTAATTATAAATTTTTAAATTTAAAAATTGGTTAAAATCAAGTAGATCTATAAACATATGAAAATCTTGAAAATGGACGGTGTAGATAATATGTTCTAAAATGCACTATTTCTAAGACTTAAAATCTTTTTATTTTAAATAGTCATACATCTCGATGTCGAGATGATTAATCAAAGGTTTTTTCAACATTAAAAATACCTTTTTCTGATGGATTTTTTAGGGCATGCAGTAGTGTGTGTGTGTGTATATATATATATATCCCATTGTGAGGGGGATATTTGAACTTTGATTAATATTATGAGAGAGAGAGGTCTTTTGTGGGTGTTGTTTTTCTCATGTGTTTATGGGCCCATGCCGGAATACTTGTATACGTGCGTCTTGTTGTTTGTTCTTGTGATTTTCTTTTCGATTTTTATTTCTCTTGTAAACACAGTTAATTTGCAGGTTGGTGTTCATTCGTAAATTTTATGCTGCGTCACTCTCTCTAAAACTTAAAATTTGAGATAGTTTCTCTCTGAAAATTTTTTAGTATTCTCTCTAAAACATAAAATTTGAGATAGTTTCTCTCTAAAAATTTGGAGATAGTTTTTCTCTCTAAATTTGTTGAATATTATCTCTCTATAAAAAGTTTCGGTTCTTGCTCTCTCTAAAACTTAAAATTTGATATAGTTTCTCTCTCTAAAATTTGATATAGTTTCTATCTCTAAATTTTTAAGATATTTTCTCTCTCTAAAACTAAAAAATTGATATAGTTTCTCTCTTTAATTTTGAGATATATCTCTGTAAAAATTTTCAGATACTCTCTCTCTCTAAAACTTAATTTTTAGATGCTTAAAATTTGAGATAGTTTCATTCTGAAAATTTTTAGATAACTTCTCTCATTAAAAATTGTCAGATACTTTCTCTATTTAAAATGTAAAATTTGAGATAGTTTTGGTCTCTAACAACTTTGAGATAGTTTTTATCTCTAAAAATTAAAGTTTTACATGATTTATCTCTCTAAAAATTTTGAGATAGTTTCTCTGGCGTATTTTCTCATTATAAAGCTTAAAATTTGAGATAGTTTTTCTCTCTAAAAATCTTGAGGTAGTTTCTCTCTATAAATGTTTTTAGGAACTTTCTCTTTATATAACTTAATATTTGAGATCGTTTCTTTCTCTACGAATTTTCAAGCACCTTCTCTTTATAAAACTTAAAAATTGAGATAGTTTTCCACCCTCTAAATTTTGAAATATTTTCTCTCACTAAAACTTAAATTTAAGATAATTTTTCTCTTTAAAAATTTTGAGATAGTTTCTCTCGCTAAAATTTTTCAAGTGCTTTTTCTGTAAATCTTAAAATTTTATGTAGTTTCTCTCTAAAATTTTTGAGATAATTTCTCTCTTTAAATTTTTTTTTTATGTACTTCTCTCTGTAAAATTTGATATAGTTTTTTATATAGTTTTTCTCTCTAAAATTTTAAGATGTTCTTTCTGTAAAACTTATTTTGAAATGGTTCTCTATAAAAAAAATTTAAATAGTTTCTCTCTCTAAAATTTTTTAGGCAGTTCTCTCTCTCTCCCTCAAATTAGATATAATTTTTTTCTCTAAAATTTTAAGACATTTCCTCTCTCTAAAATTGATAGTTTCTCTTTCTAATTCGTGGGGTGATTTTGTAGAATTAATTGTATATTATAAAGTGGACGTCTCTATAGCATGGAAATCTAGATGGAAATCAATTTTGGAGGGTAAAGGTAATGATACAGATTTCAATGATACAGATTTCTTTATTTTTAACTTGAAATGAGGAAAATAATGTGACAAAAAATATTTTTCAATCCCAAAAAATCGATCCAAAAAAGGAAAATAATGTGGCAAAAAATACTTTTCAATCCCAAAAATTCGATCCAAACGCCAAAATTGTGCCATCTTTTTTGGAAATGCATTTCCAAGTACCCAAAGACCCCTTAAGTAAATCTATTTACAAAAGCTCACTCTCAAAAGTGCTGAAAAACTCATACGCCTCGTCTTGAATATGGTCTTGAATACCTCTCTATTTCTTACCACATGTTACCTAAGTCACGAGAAAATAACATGTACAGTCTCTGGTTTTACTAACCTCAGTTTAAAGAAAAAAAGTTTATATAAACGTTGCATCCTTACCTCTACAGCTACGGGTGCATCTGAAAAATACATCGGAAAAGATAGTTTTAATGTTGAAAAACCTTTTGATTGATCATCTCGATATCGAGATGTATGATCATGAAAAATAAAAAGATTTTAAATCTAAAACATAGTGTATTTTACAACATATTATCTACCCTGTTCATTTGCAAGATTTTCATATATTTATTGGTCTACTTGATTTTAACCATTTTTAAAATTTAAAATTTTATAATTAGATATAAAAATAGATTTTGAGATAACCCTAAGAACATTTACATTAAAATTATATGTCGTGATAAAATTTGAAGGTGCACCTTACCTCTATGCCTACGGATGCATCCGTATGCCTTTAAAACCTAGTTTTATAATCAACGTTCTCTTCACATAATCAACGTTCTCTTCACATAAACTTGAGCTGTTTTCACAACAATGTCATTAATGCAAAAAAAGTTCAAAGAAATTTAATGGAAAATTTACCTCATATATTATGTGAAATAGTTGAAACATATTAATGTTTATCTTTTGGACACGGTTTCTATGGATGTAAAAATAAGGTGGTTAGAAGTAATGCTATTGAAAACAAATTTTTAGAACTTTATGATGCATTTTTAGCCACTGAATTTCATATTTGACAACTAAAAATGAATGTGATATACTTTTAACAAAGATAAGATAGTCTTGTAGCACTATAGTCCCTCCCATGTATAGATTTAGCACAATGTTGATCCAAAAAAGCCACACATTATCTTACAAATTAATATAAGGGAAAATGATCCAATTATCTGCAAGAAATGAATAATTTAGCATTTTACCCATTTCTTTTGAATTAATTTAAAAATTCACAAAAAATACTACAAGGTCATAAGTTGGAATAGTTAAAATTAGACAAAACATTAAATATCTCATCTCCTAAACCCTTAGATAAAAAACCTTTTTCCCTTCAACTCGTTATTTTCATGAGTAAACATAAATTTCATATTGGGCCAATTAAATTAGGGCCCACCTCAAAAATTTCACTAGAAAATGTGGTTTTGATGCTCAAATTTTCTCAAATTAATCATCTCGACATCAAGATAAATGGACATGAGAAAAAAAATAGATTTCAAGTTTTGGAAATAGTGCATCTTGTAGCATAATTTTGGACCGTCAATTTTCAAGTTTTCATAGATCTACTCGAGCCATATTATTTTTGAAGTTTTAAATTTTATAATTAAAAATAAAAATATATATATACGAAAGCTATCACGAAGATTTCCAGGTTTGAAACCTCATTCCTCTAACACTATTTAAAGGTGGGTTTTACTTTGATTGTTTAGTGCCTCTCGACTATTTCTCTTGAAAGATTGAGAACAGTTTTGAGAATAGGGCAGAAGTTTAAGGGCTTTTCAGGTACCTTGTATTCTATCTTCTAGTGAATGGCTGAGCTTTGAACACAACACCCCTGCTTTCCTCTCTGCAAATCCTTTTCTCTTTCATCGCCATCGCACTCTCTCATTCCTTTCTCTCTCTTGCCTCCTATTATTTCTCTCTCTCTCTAACCTCCTATCGTTTCTTTCTCTCTCTAACCTGCTATCTGCAATGGCGGCTACTCCCTCTCACCGCTTCTCCTCCCGAATTTCAAATGCTTCCCGCCAACCCACCCAACGGTCCCTGCTCCAACGGTCAATTTCTCGTAAGGTTTCCGTTTCCTAATTTGCTCTCATTTTTTAAAATTTTACCATAGTTTTTCCTTCATGAAGAATCCATCCGCTTTTATAATTAGATTTTTCAGAAATCGATTAATATTTAGTGTCCCTATCTCCTTGAAGTTTGAGTTTATAGAGAGTTAACCGATTAGAAAATACCCATTTTCTCATTGAATTGTTTTATGTATTTTGAAATATGAATTCTCAATTTGGGTTTCTGTTTTTGTTTAAATTTATTCTATTTTACTGAACAAGGGCACGGTTCTCTGGTGTTTACATCATGATGGGATTGAGTGAAAATGTGAATTTGGTTATTTTATTTTATAATATTATCATCTAGTGGGTGTAGAAATGCAATTATAAATGTGTTTGGTCTTTGTTTAATTCGACTTGAGTTTCCATGTTTTCAATTTATTATGCAGGTATAAGTATTACTAGTTATTTTGCATTTCCGGAAATGTACAGGAACTAAATTTTTAAATGAAGGATAAATTTAGAACTGCTATATGTGTGATTACTGTAAAGTTATGGTAGTGCGTAAAATATTTCCACCATCATATACATGTTAGCTACTCCCTTACATAAATGCAGTGACAGAACTCGGCCGAGTCAGGTGATACATGTTAGCAAATGCCTATACAAAAAAGCAGTGGGATGGGACCTGGTTGAGAATGCTCAATACTCAGACTCGGCCGAGTTACTTGGTCTTGTCCCATGGACGAGGCATGTTTCTCCTGAGCACATTGTACGCCCAATATTGTATGGTATGAAGATAATTTATGCCCAATTTTAGTTAAAAAAGGTTCAAATAGATTTTTGATTCATATTTAGGGTTATTGGGCATCGTGGTGGAGGTTCAACACCCTCGAACGCCACCCTCTCTTAATGTCTAGCCTTTTTTATTTTAGAGGGCATACCAGACCATTTATCTTTATTACAAGCGGTCACAACTAGTTTCACTCATTAGATGTCAAATTGGACGGCTTTGGATAAGTTCGAGAATTTTTTTTAAAAAACTTTGTATCTATTCAATAATACTCTTACAATTATACATTCTGAAATTAAGGGACAAGAGTGGTTGTAACCTTTTTGTACAAATGTTAAATGGACAATTCCTAAATAATAATGAGTCCCTTTTATTGCGAGAGTACTTGGATAGCATTTTGGCTATGGTATTGACAAATTTTAAGCCTAATGTAAAGGGGCTACCGCATCTAACCATGATGCCCATTCAAGCTAGTTTTAACTATTGAATATGTCATATAAAATTTATCCTATTTATTTATTTTTGTTTGGGTTAGACTCGGGCAAGTTACTCCGACTCACCCGAGTAACTCCCCTCGGCCAAGAGGCTAGTAACTTGGCCAAGGCGAGTAAGGGTATCTTGCATAAGTGCATCCATAATCCACATAAATCCATAATCCATATAAATATATTGCACAATTTCATTCATAATATCAGGGATGCTAATTTGTCCAATATTTGTAATAAAACATAATCATGATTTTTGCAGGCTTGATTTCCATGCAATATGGTAGTGGAGTAACACATTCATCCTTTAGTGGGCGAATCTTAGAGCCTTTCCCTTCTCCCCCTTTACAATGGGTACTCAAGGGAAGAGATCAGAGCCAAAGGAAGCATGGACTAGCAGTAAAAATGATGGCTAAGCCTTCCATTCAATTCATAAAAGGCACAGATGAGCAAACCATCCCTGATGTGAAGTTAACCAAGTCTCGAGATGGAACCAATGGCGTTGCGACGTTTATATTCGAGGAACCGTCTGTTTTCGACTCCTCTAGTGAGTTAGGGGACATAACAGGATTCTATATGATTGATGAAGAAGGGGTGCTTCAGTCTGCAGATGTTATAGCTAAATTTATAAACGGTAAGCCTGCAAAGGTAGAGGCAAAATATATAATGAGGAGCTCAAAGGAGTGGGATCGCTTCATGAGGTTCATGGAGCGGTACTCGAACCATAATGGGCTTCAATTCATCAAGAAGTGAAATGGGGTTCTCAAATTTTCAATTTTGTTTCTCTATTTTTTCGTTGTTATGGAGAACTTTCTGTTGTTTGCCAAGAAAACAGAAGAGTGGTATGGTGATTATTCTTTTTTTTCTCCTCTAGAAGATCGGAATTAGTCAAGGGAAGCCATTTTGATTGATGAACTTGATGCCTGTGCAAAATCAGAAGAATCTTGTAATCTGAAGAAATACTTGTAATATCAAGAAATAATTTTGCTTAAGGACTATAAGACCATTTAACTTCATTACAAGGAGGCCACGATTTGTCCTAGCCGTCACATATCAAATTGAACGGCATGGGGTGTATCAAGAAGCTTGAGAAAAATTCTTTTGAAATTTGAACTTAATCAATGACACACCCCTATCCATCAGATTTGAAATCTGACAGACTTGATTGGTTGACTTTATTGTATTGAAGGTAAATTCTCTATGCATATATATATTTTTTTTATTAATAACAACATAAATGCACTTTTTAGACTCACCGATAAGAAACTATCTAGCATAAAAAGAGATGCACCTTAGCATATGCTTTATGGAACTACTATATATGGATTGAACTCAAATTTTTTGCAATGAAAGGTTTAGACCGGTGTTCAGAAAATCAACTTGGCTAAGGTATTTGGGCCTTGGCCTAGGAGACTTACTTGAGTGAGTTTGAGTCCAAGTAACTCGCTTGAGTCTAGCTCATTTTCTTAAAAGAAATTAAAGAGAAAAACTATTAAATATAATAGCCAGTTTTATCAATCTAAGTAATGCGTGGTGTGTTGGTTAGGCCTCCCCTCACTGCATCCACGTACCTCTTAACAAGAGGTCATGAGTCTCATTATTGGGGGTCGGCCAAGTCTCAGAACACTGGTTTGGACCATCTTCACTGAAATAATAAGATGACAAAGAAAAAACGATAAAATGGAAAAGAAAGAAAAACATGACAAGGCAAATAATTATTTTTTAAAGGGTGCAGTTGGCATACGGATGCATCCGTAGCTATAGAGGTAAGGTGCACTTTCAAAATTTGTAGTGGTAAATAATTCTGATGTAAAATGTTCTTACGATTATCTTAAAATCTATTTTTATATCTAATCATAAAATAGAACTATGTTTAGAGATACCATTTCAAAATAATGATCATTGTGATTTTGATATAACGGCCATTATTTTGAAAATTTTAGAACTTGTTTACCTCTTTTGTACCGTTTTTTAACTGCAAAAATTCAATCCATGGTGAAAATTTTAGAACTTGTTTACTTTTTTTGCCCCTTTTTAAAGGGGAAAATTCAAATCCATGGTAAGGATCGTTACACAATTACCATTATTATTTCAAATAAAATTATAAAGAGAAATTTACTTATGGATCGGGTGTTTTTTACCATCATAATGATATGACTCTAAAATAGCCCGTTATTTTCAAGAAAGACATATTCACCATTTTTTTTTATTTTTTTCAAGTTTACCCACTTTATTTACAACCTCAAATACTTCTTTGGTTCTTTCTTTCTCCTCTCTGTTCTGTTTCTCTTCCAAGTTTTCTCTATCTAGCATATGTGATTCATTGTCTCTCTAAATGTACATGCCTTTTAAAAAAAAGACCTATGTAATCTTATGTCGAGGAAATACAATTTTTTTTTTTTTTTAATCATCACCCCTTATAATTTTGGCAACAAGATCACTCACAGATGGTCTTATTACAAACAATAGAAATTCCAAAAATAAATAACACATCAATAAAATAAATCTCAACTACTTGATGTCATTCATACAACCTAATACTGTGCTTGAGAATATAAAATAAAAGAACAAACAATTAAAAGAAAAGATGTCGAAGATTACCTCAACCGGGCTTTTTACACCCCACACCGAGTCACCACATCCAATGGCGTGGGATCAACAGTCTAGCTTCAATCTCGAATACGGAAAGTTAATTTCGGCCAAACTAGGTAACCATCCTTAAATCTCTACAAAACCCTAACTCCAAAATAATTAGGCTCAAACTCTAATTTTCTCAACCCTTAGATTAGATCATGAGAGAGAGAGAGAGAGTCTATGTTGGGCGTACCCCCTAGGGTCCTTTTTAAGAGTGAGAGAGTAGAGAAAGAAAATAAGAGAGTAGGGAGAGAGAGTTTTTAGGAGAGAGAGAGTAGAGAGAGAAAATAAGAGAATAGGGAGAGAGAGGTGCGTGGCCCCTAGGGAAGATAGAAAGAGAGTTTGTGGAAGAGAGAGGTGTGTTGAGATGGGGGAGAGCACCCCTATTTATAGTAAAATTTAGGTTTAGGGTTTCCATAATTTACCTCTTTATTGAGATTGAATATGGGCCGTTGATCAAGGTGACTTGTGGGGTGAGAGATCTGAGTCAGATGGTCATCATTATATGAAGTGCATGAACCATTATCCCCCTTTCCTTAAACCATTTTTCCATCAATATATTTAAATAAATTAAATCCATTAAATATATAATGCATACCATAAATTACATATTCCATCTCATATTTTCCATAAGAATATTTCAATAATATCAAATCAAGATATTCCTTCAATAATCAAGATAAGATATAATCAATATTTCCTTATCAATATTTGACCACATGTTACAAGATGTACTTACCGTATTTAACAAACTTGTAGACAAAGCAATAAGATAAAGTATCCAAGGGTGGGGCGCGCCACCCATGTATGGCATGTGGGGCCCCACCTAATACCCACATACTCACATGGTGGGCCCATGTGCACTATAGGTCCCCATGTATATTTTTAATAAATATTTAAAATTTAAACAAAATGAATTTTAAAACATTATAACTTTGTAAAATTAATAACTTCATTTTTATAAGTTCAAAAATAAGAAATAAAATATCAAATGACTTATAAAAATTCTAATAATAAATCTAAAATAATTCAATAATAAAATAAAAATAATTAAATTAATATGATGAGAAGTGAATCCATATGGTTTAGGAATTCAATCAATGATCACGGGGTACTCCACCTTCAACTGTGGACTACAGACCATACTTGCTTTATCGAACAGACCCAATGTTTCCCATGAGCCACAGTCCAAGCAGGGGCTCCTTAGCGGGTCCCCAAAGTTTAGTCGATGAGCTAAGGAGTCGCAATCCAAGTCTGTAAATTACAGGTTCTCCCCTAGAGACAAGTCAAGGTCACCACGACCTGATGCGACCACAGCTCTATGGCGCATAGGGGTATCTTTCACACATGCATATGCTTCACCCAAAGGTGGATATATAGTTTTTCCGATCGATCTATCTATATGCATGCCGTGTGATGGAACATGGATGAGGTTTTGGCCCCCGTCTTTGTAGGCCTACCATCACACAATCCCTTGGCTCACTCATTTAGGTATAAGCTCCGACCTCATCAAGGGCTAATCCAAAAAACCCTTCTCGGTTTATTTTTTATGCCTAGGTACTTTTGGGTTTTCCAACCGACTGGCTAAGATTGTCAAGCACAGTCCGTTATCCGCAAATATCATTTGTTTAGTATGATCTTCAAGGGAACACGCTCCCACTAAGTTTATGTTTTACCATAGTAAATGTTTTTCATTACATACTCATAAGGCCTTTAAAGGCCACATAAACCCAACACCCTCTCTTTCCTCTCATTCTCTCTCTTTCTTTCTCCTAATTTCTCTCTCTCCTTTCGCTCTCTCTTTCTCTCTTTATTTGCCGTCTCTCTCTCTTTTTTTTTTTTTCTTTGGTTGGGATTTGGGGTAAAATTGGTCTATTTGGGAGGAGTAATGGTGGTGAAGATGATCAAGTGGCAGCCATGGTTGCCTCTGGTTAAGAAATATTAGATGAAGCTGGTTTTGCGGAGGATTGAGGGGCTTAGAGCAATTGAGAAGGCAGATGGCCTGGATTCTTCTTTTTCGTCTTCTCTCTTTTTCTCTTCTCCCGAAGCCCCATCAAAATCACTTCTTCAAAAGATTTTATCCATCTTTCTCCTCTCTGTTCAGTCTATGTTTCTGAAACTACCCTTTCAGAGTCAAAACTCTTTGGCCTCACACTATTTCAACTAGCCGCCTCTTTTCTCGATACTTTTTCATGACTTTTTGGGTGTTCCTCTCTCTTGAAAATTTTCGAGCCATACCATTAATAACGGTAAAAAAACTTGATTCCTACGTAAATTTCCCAATTATAAAATGCATACATTATGTTTGGAGTCCGGACCCACTTATGATGACCATCATGTAAAAAAGGTGTGGTTTGTATAAAGCCAAGGCCCTAAACAATCAAAGTAAATCATATCTTCAAGGGAAAATATCATATTATCTCCTATTTTGAACTTCTATATCTCATCAGACTATAGAATTAAAAATATTACTTGTAAGTAAAATGACTATATTTTTTCTATCTTCCAACCCCCCAAACTCTTTTGACCATATATTATTGACTTCAACAATTTATAAAATGACTCTATCTCTCTCTCTAAAACTTCATCTCTCTCTTATATCATCGTCTCTCTCTCTCAAAACTCCATCTCTATCTGAAACCCCAACTCCACTCTCTCTTTTACATCATCGTTTCTCTCTATCCCTAAAACTCAAACTCTATCTCTTTCTAAAACTCCATCTCTCTCTAAAACCCAAACTCCATCTCTCTCTCTCTTTTAAAACTCCATCTCTCTCTCACACATAAGAAGGTGTGCTTGTGTTCGAGCTCAAGCTAAACCTCTTGGCTGGTAAACTTATCGAGAAGCAAAGAGAGAAAGAGAGATGGAGTTTTAGAGAGAGAGCGATGGAGTTTTAGAAAAAGAGAGATGGATTTTGAATAGGGTGTTATTTTAGAGTTTGTTTGAGTAAAAAATTTATAGTCAAAGGGATCTTGGGGGTTGTAAGATAGAAAAGATATAGACTTTTTGCTTACAAGTAATATTTTAAATTATTGGATCTTATGAGCTATGGAAGTTAAAAATAGGAGATAATGAGGTATTTTCCTTATCTTCAAATAGTATCAAAAGATGATGTTGTTTTAATACTTGATATCTTTGTGATGGCCTGGAAATTTATTTTCATATCTAATTATAAATTTAAACCTTTAAATGGTAGTGTAAATCGGGCAAATCTATGAATACTTGAAAATCTTGAAATCCATATTTTCTTATATCCATACATCTTGAGGTGAGATGATCAATTTGAGGATTTTTGGGCTTTAAAATAACATCTTTTAGTGAATTTTTGAGGTACACCGTAAATTGATTGTTTAGAGCCTCACCTTTATATAAACTTTTTTCTTATGTAAAATAGTGGTTTGGGACAATTTTTTTTTCTTTTTTTTTTTAATAATGATGGGAATTTTTTTACGATAAGCTGTATAGCCTGAGATGTACAAAAGGGGAAAACAAAAATAAAATAAGAAGAGTGGCTACAACGAAAAGAGGCGAAGTCACTCGGGTTTTACAACTTGGGTTGGAGAAACGGCCTAGCCCAAGTCCAAGAGGCCCTGTCAGAGTCCCAGCACATTGTAGAAAAACTCACCTGCTTCAATTTGAGATTAGAGTCGCTGAAGTCCTTTTACATTGGTGCAAAAATATTTGCCTCATTGATGATTGGGCACAGCTTCCACGGGGCCAAGTATTTGAATTATACCAAGCTACCACATTTGTTGAATTTCCTTCTATTATTAGCAATTGTAGCAGTGTTTTGAAAATCTTCTTGGCCAAGGTACTCGGCCTTTGGTCGGGTCGAGTTACTCAGACTCGACTGGCACAAGTCCAGTCCTAGTATATAAAAAAAAAAAATTTAAGTAAAAAAAATTAACAAATATAATATAGTCTTCACTTTGCTTGTAACCAACATCAAATAGTGTTGGTTTGCATCTTTGCCCTGAGAATGCGCCTTTATAAAAAATAAAAAATTTAAAAAGAAAACAAAGGGACCGCACTTGCATCAAAATTAGGTTTTATCTATTCTAGAGGGGGTGCCCACCCCGTGTATATTTAGTTCTTCCCCTCACGTTCAACTTGCTTCATGTCAATGGTTGGGATTATGACCTTTATAGGGGCTGATGTTTTCATCTACACTACTTATTTTGAAATATGATATATAGCAATGTTTAATTTAGGGGTGCGGTTTTTATTTTGAAATATGATTTATAGTAATATTTAATTTAGGGGTGCGTTGCAACTTTAAACAATCAAAGTAAAGTGCACCTCCAAACTTTGTCATGAGATACAATTTTGGGTAAAAAAATTCTTAGGATGATGCGAGAATATACTTGTATCTCTAATTATCAAATTTTAAACTACAGAAATCGTTCAAGTCGACTATTACACAGTAGGATACAATGTCCTTTCTTGTGTGGTTGAAAGTGCGCCACGCAATAGCCAAAAAAAAAAAAAAAATCCCAAAATGGTTGTTATTCTAAACTCATTACATTTTGCCTTTAGAAAATCTTGTTCAGGTTTTGAATTCAAAAGAACTAGTAGTATTTTGGTAATTTGGCTCTACTTAAATCGTCTTATTCAAATGACATAAACAACTCTAATTCTTTTGGATTCCAAATTTGAATAATATAATTGAGAAAACACTTACGCTCAGTTATATAAGTCATATGGCAAAAGTGAATCTCAATCAGTCTTGGTTGTTCTAATTTCCAAATCCAGAACAACGACAGTTTGATACTGTTCTAAAAAAATAAATGAATGGGTACCTAATTGAAAATACTTTAAACAGTAGCAATCATCGATTTAACCACCTCATCGAATTTTTGTGGGTGCTTGACCTTTTTTTTAGATATTTTTCTTAGTTTTGAATGCGTGATGTTTTGGTACTTCCCTCAAGGAATAGTAATTGCACATAAAGCAATTATTTTTTCCATAGCTCCTCGTGCACATTAATACACACGTGAGAAGATGCATGAGAAGCATTGAAGTTTCTTGTCTTGGCTTCCATCTTCAAATACATGTTCAAATGTATGCATACAAGTTAAAAAAAAAAGAGAATTTGACTCGTGCTGGTCAACTACGAAGTTCATAATTAAAAAAAAATGGATCGGTCACATGGATTGCATATTCAGATTTTTCATCCTGTTTGGGAGATCGACGATCCAAATTTTGAACCAATCATTAAAAAATGAAAAATTAAAAAAAGTGGAGCTTGTTATGAGGCTTTGTGGGAGAACCATCAAGAACTCGCAGTGTCACGGGGGAAAATCGGTCGATTTAAGATAAATGACAGGAACCGATTTGGTTGAGTTATCTGGATTGGTTGGTTCCAAACCGGATCGACTAGTTCCAATCCGGATTGGCATTTTCTTAAGCCTTATATGAACCTCTCTTGGAAACAAAATTATGCACTGGAATTTTAGTAACAAAATCATCGCTCTTTGGCTCAATAACCATTTTACTCGGTGAATAAAAGAGAAAAAAGATGAAGCTAGGTGGCATGACCACGACTTTGTTTCCATGCAAACTGCTCCATCTTGAAGCAATGCACATAATTTCATGGAACTTATTTATCACAAAACCGTAAAGTAATTTACTTGGCACATTCCTCAAAAAACAAAAGAACAATATGCTATATGAGAGAATAAATGTGGGAACTATCATGTTTCCAACAGTTAACAATAATAAAGAAGGGAAACTTTCCTATAAAAAATAAATAAAGAAGGGAAACTATCGTGTTTCCAAGGATAAATGATGCCCCATTTCCCTACATGTCCCAGCTGCCAATCTAAATAAATCCTAGAAGATGCATGGAAAACGCAAAATGAAGTGCAATGCATTGTGGGGTTCTATTTTGGACCAACCCAAGTCACTGCAACTGAGCTCCTGACCTTGTTGCTATGAGAAAGGTGCACCCATGTCAAAGACCCTTGAGCATAGGAAATATTCCCCTTGGGCATCTTTCTCTTGGACCTGAACCAGACCCTAAAAGTCTTGCTTTCATTCACATTGTGAAATGAGAGGCTTGATGGGCTCACTCTCATCACCACTCCTTGGGGTGGCTCCACCTCCACTGAGTAAGTGGAATTTGGGGGCCCCACATTGGTCACCCGCCTTATCAGTAGGACCCACCCACTGCGATGGCTCCGGCCGGCGGTTTTCGTCGAATGTCTCCTTCCTTCTTTGAATATTACAGACATGGAGGGGTAGTTCAGAAAATTACCCTTCTTCGCCGCTAACAGTGGACAGCTGATGTTCTTGTGCGTGATGGTGAAAATCTGTGATGTGGTGTAGCCGAGTTGACAGAGATGAGGTAAGTAGTCCGCTGAGCTCATGTCGTAGACGAGTCCGGGGTTGATGGCCCTGGCCGGGTTCACATGGCCACCACCCAGAGCAAACACCCCCGCCGGACGTCTCCCATCAAGAATCGGGCCTCCAGTGTGATCCACTACGTCTGCAGTCGTGATTAGGGCTGATTTAATGGCCGCTGGGCTCCACAGTGGATGCACCGAGCGCACAAGTGCCGCGATACCACTCACGTGCGGACATGCCATCGAGGTCCCTGATAGCACAGAGAAGTTCACCTGACGAGTGTCTTCCAGCAATCCGGTTGGACCGAGGTTGTCCGGCCAGGCAGCGAGTATGTTCACACCCGGTGCCACCACGTCGGGCTTTAGCACCGTAGGGTTCGTCGTGCTCGGTCCCCTCGAAGAGAATAGAGCTACTCCAGGTGCCCTGAAGTTCCTTTGGTAGATGGTCCCCCTGAACAGTATTCGGGCTCGGGGGTTTTTGGTGGAGGTTATGTACTTCTTTAGTGCCACAGCCTCTCTGTATCCTATAAGCGTGGCTGGCAACACGTGAACATCGACTGAGTTCTCTTCTTGGTTTTGTTCAGTGTTGGCCAGGACCATGGCGAGCCCACCAGCCTCCTTGACCACTTCACCCTTGAGAGCTCTCCCTGTGCTCCCTCTATCACACACCACCATCTTCCCTTGAACAACATCTCTTCGCAATGTGCTGTTAAAGCAGAACTGCGAGCCCGGACTCCCGGCATAGTCGTAGACCAGCTCGAGGAACTGCTCATTCTCATGGCCGTCTCCGGCTGGGTGTAGGGACTCGCCGTATAATACCTGGCCATTGCCGAGCCGAAGAAGAGCGGGGAAGCTTCGGTCGAGAGTGCTCGCCCCGACAGTGGTGATCCACGGCGCCTCGTTGGCCACAGAGCCTGGCAACGGGCCATTGTTGCCCGCTGCGCACACCACGAGCACGCCCCTCTCTGCCGCCCTATACGCACCGATGGCGATCGAGTCCTCATGAAAAGGCAGAGGGAAGCCACCGAGCGAGAGGGAGAGCACGTCCACCCCATCCTGTATTGCGTCGTCCATTCCGGCCAATATGTCTGAGCTATAGCACCCTCCAAACCAGCACACCTTATAGATGGCAAGGTGGGCTCGAGGCGCCATCCCCCGCGCTGTCCCGACCGCATTTCCGACAACCCCAGCCCCCTCCACGGGGGCCCCCACTGCCGTGGACGACGTGTGAGTCCCATGTCCGTGCGCATCCCGGGCGGACACATACTCGCCATTAGTTCCAGCAGGCCACCTCGACTTCCCACTGTTTGAGGTGGGTTCCTCCACCCTGTGGCCTCGACCATAGAATCGGGCACCGATCAGCTTGCGGTTACACAACGAGGGGTCGAAGCTCTCACCAACCTGACACACCCCGCGCCATCTCTTGGGCACCGGGGGCATGCCGTTGTCCAAAAAGCTCGAGCTCTCTGGCCAAACTCCAGTGTCAAGAACACCAACCACCGTGCCCTCTCCGAACCCGGACTCACCCCAAGGCCCACTTCTCTGGTAGGAGTTCAAGCCCAAGAACTTATAAGAATAAGTAGTCTGTAAGGGGTGGCGACGATCGCGACGGACCGCCACTACGCCTGGTGTGGCTCGGATTGCCGCAGCCTCACCGTCTGTCAACAGTGCAGCGAAGCCCTCGATCACAGCCTCATACGAGTAAAGTAACCGGAACGGCTCTTCGGCGTCGTCGTCTTCGGCGACTGTCGGCCAAAGGATTGACCTGTGCCATTGGGATTTGTGTTGGAAGCCGGAGGTTTTGAACTGGTTTGGGTGGAGTTGTATGATGTGGGTGTGGAGTTCTCGAGCATGAAGCATGCGAGAAGAGAGCAAGTGAAAGAAGATGAAGAGGAAGAATAAGAGAACGTGGGGGGTTCCCATGAGAATAGAAGAGTATTAGTAAGGGGATAATTTAGAGAGAGAAAGAGATAATGTAGAGGGAAGGTGGGGGATTGTGATGGGGTTGTTGGTATTTATGTGAAGGGGGAATGTGAAGATGTTTTTTTTTCATTTATTAGGGGGTTAAGAGGACACTCGTGAGCGTTTAGGGCTCTTGGGGTCACGAGGATCCTTTGGTTAAAGGAGCTTCTCAGTATATGGAGAGAGGCCAAAACTCAGATTTCTCTCTCTTTTGGAGCAGCGCCTCTCACGGGTTTTAGTACATTACGATTGATGCCATTCTCTCTCTCTCTTGAATGCCTCTCTCTCTACTCCAAAACCTTACGACAAATGCATCAATATCAACATAGTTTTAAATTTTAAGCTTTGGAAGAGTAGTGACCGAGTCGGGGCTGCATTTCTACATTTGCATCCTCTTAGGTATCAAACATCCATCTTTAAGATGGATGTAAAGGTGTGCCTCTTCCTGAAAGAATAGAGTCCAGGAAAATTATAAAAAATATACTTTTAATTTTTGAATTATTGGAAATAAATTTCAAACTTTCTAAAACCTCATCCATACTTCATTTCTTTATCTTTTTTTATTTTTTTACCAAAGTAGTCTTCACGTTAGTCTTAAAACTGTGAAGATATAACGGTAGACTCACTACTGTAATGGTCTACTGTGATGGTCATGAGTAGTTTTAAACAACCATGATAGTCGTTAAGGCATCATGACACTTAAAAAACCATGATGCTTAGGTAACAGTGTAACAATTAATCTAGAACTGATAGTCCAATAAACCATCACGGTTCTTTAAGTGCCGTGATCTTTCAAAACTACATTTGACTTACAACCCGCCATATGGCCATCATCACGGTTTTGAATAGATCGCAATACCTTCATGATTCTAAGACTACCGTGAATATTATTTTCATCTACTTATCAAAACAGGGGTATGGATGTAGTTATGAAAAGTTTGAAGTTTATTTCCAATAATTCAAAAATTAATATATATTTTTTATAACTTCCCAAGAATTTAATGGTTCGAAAATTTTCTCTAAAAAAAAATTCTCATTTTTAGTTTTTAAACTTATTTCTTTTTAACTACTAATAATCTCCATATTAGAGATTATATACATCTAAAAAAAATTAAATTCAAAATCGATCCTAAAAATTGATAAAAGGGAGGGGGCGGCATATCACATAAGAGTGTAGGACTGATAGAAACGTTGTCCGCTCTTAACCTTTGATGCGTTTCTCCCGCTGCCCGCTCCATGTGCATTGATTGCTCCTGTCATATTAGCTCTATGTACGTCCTGTAAGCGTACAGTATGCTCCCACGGAACCATGCTGCGCCCTTCTCATTAATAGCATCTCTTTAAGTTCTCTTGTTTTTTTTTTGTTTTTGTAACCATTTTTGTTCTGTGCTCGCGTTTCTCACCGTAAATCGATGTGTTTGACACAGTGTTTAAAAGCCGAGCCGGTTCGACTCGGGAATCGCTATGGACGGATCAAATCGACGAAAAAATGGGAATCGTCCGGTTCTAAAGAGAACCGGAAGATTCTGCACAGTGACTCGCCGATTCACTGTACGGAATCGGCGAGTCCTGTACGGAATTTTTTT